TCGAGGGTGCAGTTCAAATTCCCCACCCCTAAAGCATGGGGATCAAATTCCCCACCCCCTAGAAGACTCTGATAATCAAATTCCCTCCTCCCCGGGACGGCAAAGGTGTCAAATGCCCGGGGTATGCCCGGGGGGGGCATGTTGAAGCTTCGATTTGACCGATACAATATTCAACTTGAGCCCGTGCGCCAGGAACTGCCTTTTGATTGGTTGACTACTGACCACTTGGTCTCAGGGGAATCTACATTACATTTGGTTACACTTTTTTCAGCTCGATCGAGAATTTCTCTGCCTATTGCCCAGTCTTACGCGGCTCTATTCTGCTGCCGCCTCGCCATCCGAGCGTCTTCGCTCGGATGGCTCGTTGGCAATTATTATTATTATCAATATTGATGCTAATAATAGCAATAATATTTATTTTCTTCTTCTTCTTATTATTATTATTATTAATTATTAATGAAATAACGGTTGAAACGTCGTGTTTCTTCCATGCTGAGCTAGTTTCCCTCGCAGCCGTGTTTTGTCTCATCACGCAACACTCTTCCGCAACAAAGGAAGAGGAGCGTTGCGTGACGAGACAAAAATGGCGGCAAGAGCTTGCTGTACTGTACCACAACTGTAGGTTTAATTTCAGATGTTGAATTTAATTCAGTCAAATAAAATAGCTGTTGTCGAAAACAAGTAATAGAATCAACTTTCAAAGCATAATTCAAATGCATTTAAAATATAAGATATCTGTCAAACTTTTTTTCATGAGAACCAGACAACTTTGGCTGTAGCTTACTTTTCCTAAGTTCTCACTTAATAGAGGCTGAATTGTTCTTAATGCTGTTTTTTAGGTCGAAGTTTCTTTTATGTTGAAGTTTCCAAGCTTTACAAAGTCAAATCAGTTTGCCTTGTAAGGCAGTTGTCGTTTGCCTAGAACAGATAGCGCAAAATTTTCTTAGTTAGCCCAGTAACGCATTTTTGATTGGAGTAGAGCTAAGCTGATGCACAAAAATATTGAATTTGCCTGGTAAGGCAGTTGTGATTAGAAGACAGGCCATCCTCTTTTTCTTTCTCCTTTCAGCGTCGTCAACCGACCCAAATTTTTGGCATTTTCAAAAAAAAAGTAACGACGTAGTTAAACCATTTTTCAATTGAAATAATTCTTTTAATCTGAAAAATGAGCATAGTAACAGCATAGAGAAAAACAGGAACAAAGACATGAACATTTTTTACAGTATATTGTGCATTTTGTTAATCCAAATATGTGAATGTTAACTTTTAACGTCGTCCTGGGGTACCAAGGCGTCCTATTCCGAGACTTCTTGTGAGTTTTTTTTTTAGTTTAGTTTTTTTTTTTTTCAATCCGACCGACCGACTCAATATCAGGAAACGCATTCGAAGCTAAACGAAACCTTGAATTTGCTCAGCAACGCAATCGCCATTGGTTTAGAGTTGACGGCAGCAAATCTTGAACTGGGAAATCCATAAAAAGTGCGCAATTTCGTCTTTTTAGGGCCGACCATTTTTGACCAAAAAAAATTTGGAATGGGTTAGAATTTTTGGATAATTATGGGAAACTGTCAACGGATTTTGAAATAGCATGCACGTCGTTATTCGGAAATTATTACATTTTGCGTTATTACATTATGCGTTAGAAAAGTTATTACAATTTGCGTTGAAAGATTATTACATTCTGCGTTGAAAATTTTATTACATTTTGCGTCAATGTTATTACATTTTGCGTTAGTATTACATTTTGCGGCGATTCTTATTACATTTTGCGTTAATATTACAGTTTGCGGCGATTATTACATTTTGCGGCGTAACACTCGTCCACACTTTAAACGAGATATTTTGCAAAAAAGCGCTGACTCTTTGCGTTTGGATATCCCAATTTGGAAGACATACAAGTCATTCTGTCTGAAAGGTTATGAAGCGGCAATAAAAGGCTAGGCTTCAAAAGATCTTAACAAACTGAAATTGGGCTAAACTGCTTAAGGAGGTCAAACTGTGTCTTCGTCTCAGGAGATATCATACCCTTGGAAAAACAAAAGTTACTGTTTCCATTGGGATCTACATAAAAATAAAATAAAATAATCCCAGATACATTAATGTTCTCACTAAAGCTGTATCTTGTGCAGTGTTAACAGCAAGTTGATTAGGAAAATAAAAGAAGATCCATATAGACATCCTTTATCAAGACAAAGGAAAATTCATTATTACTCGCTCTCCATGAGGGGCCACATAAGAGCCCAGGAAAGCAAAGAAATGTACCAAAGAATGTTCTACATGGGCAAGGTTGTTGTTATGGCTATCAGCTATTTTTTGTCCTTTTTTGCTGTCACTGTTGTCATTGCATGAGGTTCCTCCATCAACTTTTTTGGGGACAAATTTCCATGAGGGCTAAACAACAGAAACTGTAGGTGTGGTATTACATTATTACGTAAGTGGTAACATTGCCTCATGATGCCCTGCTAAACTCCAAAAACATCTTTCTCGAAAAGCCTATCATGGTCTGTAGCAATGGAAGGATCAGACAAGGCTACGAGTAAAGTTATGTTTCTTCCAATAAAATGTCTTCAGCCTCATATTTCAGTTCATCCAGAAGTTCAAAAATCATTTCCATGAGTTTCTGTAAACTGAAAGCAAAAGTTTCGTTTTATCAACTGTGTCGATAGTTGATGGCTATGATTTGTCTTTCAAGGTATCATGCACACGACGTTATATTTGGCATTATGTGATAAAAAATTTATCTCTTATTACCTTGTTTTTAGGGCAGTAACCTCTTCAACCTTGTCCTCACCTGATGCATCAATAGCAGCACTTTGCTCTGCAATCTGCAACTTTGCTGTCTGGATACCAGAGAGTTATTAAAATGAAATGCAAAAAATGAGATATTAAAAAATAAAATTATGCCAATTTCCAATTCCAAATGTTGTTATTAACTAATCTCAATCTCAAACATAATTTTCAGAAAGTGTCCTACACTGCTACAGAGGCTCAAAGGTGGCAAGTAATCAGAGAGGAGGTAAATTATGATCAGTTCAGCTCTATGAATGGGTTGAAAGACTACTCATTTTAAGTCAAAATAAAGTCCACTTTTTAATGTTGTTCACCATTTCTCATATAATTTTAATCAATAACAATTTTGAGAAACATAAACATGTAAAAAGTAATGAGATAGTGTTCCGACGTTTCGGCAACATCATGACGCCAATATGAGGGAATACAAATAAAAATGCAAGTTTCACATGGAGTTAAAGTACTCTAAATTTGCATGAACGAAAACAGCTAAACAAAGACCTTAGCACGGATTGAATTCGTTTCACCTGCAAAGGTGGTCTTAATTGTTTGATGTAAAGCATTTCATTAATGAGGAAGTCAAATTTGTTCTTGCAGTTTTTCAGCACTCTAAAGCTGCCACCCTTGGGGACCTTCTCAGCTGCTCCCAGAGGCTCTTCAAAACTACCTTAAAAACTTACCAACTCTAATTTTTCTTTCTCTTTCAGCTGTAGTTTTCTGATGACTTCACTTATGGCGCTCTCTCCACTTTCCCTCAGTTTTTTTTCAATGTCGATAACTTCATTTGATATGTTATTAAATGTCTGAGTTATATTGTGTACAAGTTCACGATATGATGGAAAATCATAGTGAGGACCAGTTTGAAGATATTCTCTAAAACCACTGAAACACAAGATTAAATTAATAAAAATAGACATTTCATATTCTTGACATGGAGGGGTGAACCTGGGTGAGAGTAGGGCCACCAAGTGGGTCAGTGGGCCCAATGCAAAAATGGCTGCGGGATCAATAATCTTTTGTTTAAATTAAAATTAGCCTTCTCACTTGAGATAATGTATTCTTTTGAATTTTGTACTGAAGAATGAGGCTAGTCAGGCTAATTTCAATTTAAACAAAAGAATACTAATCCAGCAGCCATTTTTGAATTGGGTCTATGCCTCCCCTCTTTTGGGTGAAAAAGTCATGGAAGACTTTATTTTGCAGAAGAAAATATCCACAGACATCCACCCGCCCTCCCGCCAAGGAATGGGCTTTCACCCATTACAGTCAAGCATGCCCCCAGCACTGCTAACTTTACCTTGGAGAAAAAAACACTGGTTTCCCTGCGAAATGACGTCCAAGAAACAAGTGCAGAAATTCCATACTGATGACACATCACTACCCAGTGCCATGAGGGAAACTTGGTTGAAGCGGCACAACCAATCAGGAGCACTACCCAGATCTGGGTAGTGATGCGTCATCAGTAGGGAATTTTTTGCACTCATTTCTCGGACATCACTTTGTGGGAAAACCAGTGGTGGCAATGAAAATGTTGGCTGTTCTCTCAGGTTATGCTAACAGCTGTGCATTCTCACGTTCAATTTTCACTTCCCTACTGGCATGCTTGATGATACAATTAGGTCATCATGTACCATACAGTGTAGCAAGTTTTCAGATCCAGTTTATAACACAATAAGTCATGTTATCAATTTGGAAATACCTGTCGAAAGCTTTATCAACTCTGTGCTTAATAATTCAAAACATCCTCAGCTTCTTTGTTTTCCCAAATGTAGTATGTGGGCCGTGTTAACTTTGTCCTTTCATAACTTATACGTCAAAATTTGAAAGAAACAGTTCTCTAGTTTGATTAAGATCACCAATCTTACACTAAAAAATATACAAGCTAAAAGGTCTATTCAGATAAATAAATAAATAAATAAATAATGAGTATAACAAAATCGACAATCGCGCATGTAATGCTGTTCAGCCCTGCGCCTTCCTACCTGTCAAAAGCTTTGTACACTTTGACTCTTTCTTCTTGTAATGAAAAGATCCGCTTAATTAACTCTTTGTGGGTCATAATCAACGTAAGCTTAAACGCATTAAGGCAGTGAATTTTTTAAAAAATAGGAACATTAACATCAATATTACGAAGAATGGATGCCAGAAGCTGAAAATCACCAGGCGTTCAAATTGCGCAGAGGCGAGGAAAACTGGGCGCTATAGTAAACATGGCGGACGATATGGAGTTTTCAGGAAACCTTTCCTACAAAGAGATTCACGAGCGATTCGTGAGTGATCTAAACGGCACATCATTGATGGAAGTCAGCTTGGTTGCTAGCACCGCGCCAGTAGCGGTTATTTTAAGGACATTCATGTTCAGTCTGCTGTTTTTGAACGAGAAAGCCAAGCTGTCAAGATGGTTATTTTGCTTGTAAGTCTCTTCAGGTTAATTTTCGGTTATGCACCCATCACTGGTTATTCCTTGGGGGTGGGGGGAGGGGGGAGAGCAAGGAAGGGGGACTTTGTAAAGGACGGTATGAAAGTGCCTGATTTTCCCCTTCTAGATGGGGACACAGAGCAATCCAAGTTAAGAAATTCCCCCTCCAAGAGGGCTATCATATAAACTTTTAGTAAAATCCAACTAGTGGTCTATTATCAATGCTGCCTTCTGATTGGTTGAGCTACTACTAGGCTATAAGTTATAGCCCACTAGTAGCGAAAGCGCCGGGTTTTTGGCGGCAAAAAAAGGATTAAAGTCTAGCTTTAACCAGCTAAAGTTGTTTTGTCTCCATATTTTTGACCAGCTAGTTGGATTTTACTAAAACAATTATTCCTCTCACCCACATGGCCTCTGAGTCAATAACCCATTCGGCCTATGGCCTCATGGGCTATTGACTCAGAGCCCAATTGGGCTCGAGGAATAATTGTTAAATATTGAACAACATGAAACCATAATAAACTTGAGATGCCATTATATTGACCCAGTTCAGCTGATTAGAAAATAGTACTTTTCCCTCAAATTGATGTACATAACAAAACCTGAGATTACTCAGTTCCCCAAGTCTGCCTTTATTTCCACCACTGGAGAGAGATCAGCCTGCAATCTTCTGGACAAGTGGCTGACATGTATATAGCCTTAATTTAAGAGCATGTGAAATCGACTTAATTTCTTTGTAAAAAGCCCCCAGTTTTGCCCATGGTACAAGGTTGTTGTAAGCCAGACTTCTTTTCTCCCATCTCCAAGGTACAGCAATCTTTCAAACTCCCCTAGAAGTCCCCAGACAAAGTTGTATTTGCCCAAGGTTCCCCCTAGGGGATGGCCAACAATAGGTGTATTTTTGAGCAGTTAACAAGTTGCCAAGGTCTTTTTTAAAAGGACACGTCTTTTATTTTGCAGCTTGGTTTTTGTGTTGGATTTTGCCACTTTAATTGTTCCTGCTCTTCTTGGTTGCACTGTGCTCGCTGATTACATCATCCTGTTAATTGCCACTTGTTTATCTCTATCGCTAGGAGTATTAGTTCTCTGCTCTGCGAGAAGTTACAGAGAGCAAACACATCTAAACTCTCAAACTATTCTTTCTTCTGATATGTCTGGGAAAAGACCTTTTATTGGCAACTTCAGGGCATATGTCGTGATTGCCACTGCCATAGCTATACTGGCAGTCGATTTTGCCATCTTTCCCCGGCGTCTTGCAAAAGCTGAAACTTTTGGAAGTGGACTCATGGATGTTGGAGTTGGATCATTCATAATTTCAAATGCTATTGTATCACCAGAGGCAAGAGGTGTTTCCACAGGCAATACGGGCTTTATTTCACCAGTTATAAGGTCTTTAAAGTCATCTTTACCTCTGCTAGTGCTTGGAATTATGCGGTTCATTTCAGTGAAAGGTTCAGATTATCAGGAACATGTCAGTGAATATGGCACTCACTGGAACTTCTTCTTTACCTTGGTTATTGTGAGGGTGAGTAGATGGTCTTAAACATGATGAAAAGGGAATATTTTTTGTTTATGTTGAAAGTGCACTTAGCTGTCTAGTCTAGCTTATTTACAGGCATTCTACCAAAATATCTTATTACTCAGAAAAATTACAGAACATAATATAAAGGTTGGAACACACCAGGTGACAAGTTGCAGTGACATGTAGCAGCGACAAGGCACTCCTTGTGTGCAGGTCGGGCAACTAGTTGCAGCAACATGTTGCGGTGACAGGTCGCAGTGACAAATCACTTCATGTGCACAGGAGCATTTTCATGAACATCTTTGTCTCTGGAACAAGTCGCAAAAAATCAAATCAGACTAAATTTGTGTGACTTGTTGCAGCGACAAAATTTTGTTGCGGAGACAAAGATTTTTGCAAAAATCTTCCAGTATTTTTCTTGTGTACTAGAGGTGGTTTGTCTCTGCGACATGTGTCCGGGACTTGTTGGTACAACTTTTTACCTAGTGTGTATCAACCTTAACACAATTAAAAAACACAACTGACTGGAGGCAACCAGCTGGTTATTTACATGCACAACTGAGGATTTGAACTCAAGACGACCGAGAAACAAATCCAGCGAGTGATAAACCCATGTCATCAATCAATAAGGTCAATAAACAGTTGTCTCGCATTATTGCTGACACCCAGTAGTGAGAGTCCATAATAGTGGGGTATGAGAGAAAAAGTTGTTTTGTCTTTAAGCTTATGAAATAATTTGTAAAAGTCACAGAAGAAATGATCCGGTCACAAGAAGGACATTCTCATGTTTGCCCTCCGATAGAAGAATGGTTTCTTTATTTTGCTTCATCGTAATGCTGCTTTATATTTTGTGAGTCAGGGTTTTTGATGAAGTACTCATAGGTGTCCACTATAGTGAGAGAAAAAACAAGTGAAATGTTGCACTCGGGGGTAGGAAGTTGTCTGCATTTCCATAAAAGCGAAGGTCTATAATAACGAGAGTTTTCTTTCAATCTGTTTCGCCAGGGGGCTTGCTCTTGTCCACAATAGTAAGGTGATGGTGTCAATTCAATCACTTGAGAACTGGCTTACACCTCTTCATTGCCATCACTTGCCACTTAATCATTGTTACTTTCTTGTTCTGTTTCCTTTATATCTCATTTTCTGGGGTTTTCACTTTCTCTCCCTTACCCATTACCTCTACATCAGTCACTGGCAGTAATTTTCAAGTCTATTTTTAATTTTAATTTTTCCCTCTGTATCAGTAAACTACTTACCACCCATTAAAATTTTCTAACATTATTGTATTTTTCTTGTATTAACTTGCAGGTTCTATCAACAATGCTCCTCAGACTTTTACCAGGTCGTAATTGGTACGGATTAACTGGAGTTGCACTTGCTTGTCTATATCAGTATCTTCTTAGTTGTGCTGGATTGAGAGCCTTTGTTTTGCATGGTAGATATGGGGATAACTCGCGCCATGGGTTTTTGGATGCCAATCGCGAAGGTCTTTGTTCTTGTGCTGGGTATTTGGCCTTGTATTTTATCGGTGTTCAATTAGGAAAATTTCTCTTTCAGGAAAGGTGAGTGACAATCCCTCCTGGCGGGGGTAGGGAGGGGCACTGCTTTATTATATAGGCTATGTAGGTATTACCAACGTTAGGAGTAGGGTTTTCGAGCAGTTTAATCTTTTAAGCCCCAGCTATCCAGGAGGCAGGGTGGCCAAGTGGTCAGGGCATCAGACACGCAATCTGGCAGTCCCAGGTTTGAGTCCCACTTTGGCCACTCGCTGGATTTGTTCTCGGTTGTCCTGCCAGTTGGAGTTCTTAATTCTATAGTTTTATTTGAATTATTTGTTTCTAAGTATTTGAGAGCAGTGCCTGTAAACTAGCTGGATAAGCTAAGTGTACTTTCCACTACAAGCAAACTTTTTTTATTTATCCAGCAGATACAAATTCTCCACACATATCTTCTTATATTTCCTTAAAGAGTTGAGGGAATTTGATAAAAGATCAGTGTACTTCCTCGTTTTGATCACTGTATTACTTCCCATAATCTTTTTTCCTGCGGGGTCTCTTGGGAAGGGAAGACCCTGTGCGCGCCTCAACCTAATCCCCAATCTTCTCTCACCCCAAAAAACACTTAAATAGCGACTGGGTACGAGTCTGCAGATGAAGATGGTTTAGTTTAGGCCAAGGGTTCTAAAGGGTTCCAGGGTATCAGTAGTAGCAGACTAGGGTATCAGAAGCATCTCCCCGGCAATAAATTCCCTTTTGACCTACAAGACTGCTCGTGTATTTAACTTAGTATAAGAAGTAGTGATGTTTGGCTGAAATAAATATGTAATAATAATTAATAACTAAATAAACAATTAGTAATAAGTAGGCTTTCTTTTTTCATTTCGTCGTAGGAGTACTGTTGGACAGTGGATTAAAGCGTTTTTTGTCCTTGTCACAGCAGATGTTGTCTTTTATCTCTTGCTTGAAGCATCTCAACTGTACGTTAGTCCAATTTCTAGAAGAATGGCGAATTTATCCTTTGTACTCTGGCAGGTAAAAAATTATTTCACGTCGGACGTTCACATCATTTATATCATTTTCCTTTACGGGTGTTGTATTGTTGGTAACCGGTCAAGTCGCCCGAAAGTCATCTCGCCCGAAGTTCCCATGATATCGCCCGAAACCACAGTCATGTCGCCCGAAATTTTAGTCAACTGAGTCGCCCGAAATTTTAATAAAGAGTGACTATGTAATATATCTCGTTCTTTAAGCGATAATGAGACAAAACAAGCTGGACAATTGTGTAATTAAGCCTCGTTCTTTAAGCAATGATGCTATGTTGAGACGAAACAAGCGAGATGAATTTGTAACATATATCTCGTTCTTTTAGTCTTGATGAAATGAAACAAGCACGTCAAATGAGTAATGTATCTTGTTCTTAAAGATCTGATGAAACTAAACAAGTGCGATTACAATGTTAGGATGTTACTGAGAATGATAAAATCTCGGCGACTTGACTAAAAATTTCGAGCGACATAACTCTGGTTTCGGGCGAGATGACTAAGAGGACAAGAGAATATATACTGAGCGATAAGTTTGACGACACAAACTGTTGCATCAAGGTTTTTTTGTTTCCGAGGTTTAACTTAAACAGAGGAGCTGTATTACGAAATTTATCAAAATTTTCACACTGGGATAACCTGCCACCAAATTGAGTGAAACAAACAAAAACTGCTTAAAGCATGAGAAGATGGTATGAAAAACAGACCAGATACTCGAAGATACAAAAGGAGGCACAGATGGACACAGTGGACAGACATGAAGAAGATTGAAACAGATTGCATTGCGTTTTTGAAAACTTAATAGTCGAACAGTTTTTCAAAGTTCATTTTTGTTGTTTATAACGGCATTTGTTATAATGCTAAGGATACGTCTTTGTTTGACATGAATCCCTAATTTTGTCATTCATAAGTAATTTTTCAAGTCTATAGCGGATATGAACGCTGAATTGGCCTTTTTAACAAAATGAACTAGAGTAAAAGGCAGCTGTGACACAGCGCCCCTTCTTCTTCAAAACTACTCTTAACGTATCGTTTTTCTCTTGTTTCAGGTAGCCTACAACATCCAGATCCTCTCAAGCTTTTTGTTCTGCGAAATTTTAATAACCGTTGCAAAACTCAAGGATGTGCTCCATGGTGCAGTGTCTGGAGGCTGTGAAGCTTGCTATCCAACGAGAAAACAGAATAACAACCCTTGTGCATGCCTAGTAGCTGCTATAAATCGCAACCAATTACTGTACTTCTTACTCGCTAATCTGTTAACTGGAGCCGTGAACTTTTCCGTACAAACTGTGTTCTGCTCCGCAGTGAAAGGATTTTTGATAGTTTGTACATATTTATTGGTCCTGCATTCCTTAGTTTTTATTTTACATTTACGCGAGAGAAGTTTTAAGTTTAGGTAAGCTGCCAGTTTTAGGTATTTAGGTGATCCTGGGCCTTGTTATAACGATGAATAAACATTACTTGTAGTATTGTACTGAATAGTCTGCTTGTTCTTCCGCTCGATTTGGTGAAAGCTCAATACGAGAATTTCACTAAGTACCGTATTTATTCGAATAAGCCCCCAACCTCGAATTAGCGCCCACCTCGAATAAGCGCCCATCCTAAAGGCAGAAAAAGTTAATAAGCGCCCAGCCTCGAATAAGCGCCCACCCCACCCCACTCCCTCCCACAAAAACTCCAATGAGAGATAATAAGAGACCCTCCCGAAGACGGAGTTTTCTTCAGGGTATTGTACAGAAACCTTGCTTTGTTACACCTTCGCTTTTTGTTATTAGCATTTACTGTTTTGTTGAAAATATACTACTACGGTTGGTGAGAATGGTGAAAATTTAACAAGTGCCCAGCCTCGAATAAGCGCCCACTCTCAAGGTCCAAAAATTTTATAAGCGCCCAGGGCGGTTAATCGAATAAATACGGTAACAACTTTTTCATCCGCCACTATGTTTATGATTTGCAGGGTGGGGATTGAAAACTGTGATCGTCTAGACTCATGACTTCTCGGGTAAGTTTCATAACTGAAAAAAGGAACTGTGTCGATGTGGCCTGAATGATCTCGCCTACTTGAAAGGTGTTCCAAGGGGGTGGGGCAGCGGCGGGTAAAAGAGGGCGTTGGTCTTCTCAGCCTCCTCCGCAGGCATCACTGTCCTGTTTTAGAGAACTGGAAAAGACAAACTCCCGACGATTGGAGTGATCGTTACAAAAGGAGTAGCCCACGGAGGAGGCTGTAATCCAGTCCCTAAGATTGGGGGGTGGGGGGACAAAACCTATGCCTAGAAAATACTAAATTTTCTTTCCTGACTTAAAAGAAACGACTTGGCGCGGAAAGAAATGGTGTCGTTTTAGTCGGGCATAATTAGGTGAATACCTCTGGTCATGGGCTCCTGGCGTTCGCATAGTAGAAAGCGGGAGAAAAATTGACGCCGGAGAAAAAACCGAGGGGCTTTTCCCCTCGTTTTCCCCTTGTAGGGGTTTCAACTCGCTCACCGCTTTCTTCTATCTGAATGCCTGGAACGGGCTAGCCTCCCCCGCAGATGTTCTTTTGGCTCGTCACGCAATCCTCCCCTACATGCAGTAGACTTTCGTAGGGCAGGAAAGCGTGATGAGCCGGAACAGGCTAGCATTTTTTTAGACGTTTGATTTCCTTGTGTGACACTAGAGGGCAAGATTTTTTTCTACCAGCCTCACAGAAAGTTATGAGGAAGAGTTAAAAGATCAAAACACGAACTTTTCAGAACAGCATTTCATCAATAAACAGGTGGAGCTAGACGGTGCAAGAGTAAGAACCTGGGAGACCTGTGCTCATTCCCCGGGCAACTCACTCGATCTTGAAAGCATTCACTCATTCAGGACATTCAGTCATTCGCGCGATCGAACATGGTGGCAGTGTATTCGACTTTCGTTCAGTCCTTTCTTTTACTTCTCGTTACACTGATCCTGGTTGTTTTTCCTGCAGATGGATTGCTTGGAAGAGGTAACTTAGATACATCGTATATAGATGAAGAAAGGACTTTGTATATTGTGTCAGTGTTTGAGAGAGACACAGCGCGACACTTAGTTTATGAATCACTGAAGTGAAAGTGTTGCTCAGCACATACATGTAAGCTTAACAGTGTACTTTATAAGCTACTGCGGATGGAATCTGAGGAACTTAGAAATTATCTTAGCCTAAAAGTTTTCTTAGTGTCCAATATATGATGCAAATTATGATGAACATCGGGCATCTCTTTTTACATCTGTTGATCCCTCGGATGCTTGTGTTGTTTTTATAACAAACCTGACATAAAAGCTTTAAATCGAGTTGGATTGCATCATTTGAATTTTTGTTCATTATTTTCATGTTTTCAAGTTAGACTATAAATATGGTTTATTTAAACATGGACCTTAAAACAGCTGTTTTTTTAAAAAAATTCTTATTTAGTCACAATGCACAGTAATCTGACTTTTTCGTGTCTGCTTTTCTTGTAGACCAGCATCACAGTTTAATTTTTTTACAGCACATTGGTTTTAGGTCTACAAAAGTTGGAATGGGGATTCTCCAAGGGACAGACAATTATAAGGAAGAAGCAAGCGAAATGTTAACACGTACACACACAAATTACGCAGCTCAAAAATTTCCCCCTTGTGCCATTAACTTTCGTAATGGTCCACATCTAAGTACATATATGCATAAAATTATTTAATACTGCAGGTGGCTAATAAAACTGAGGCAATAAAATTTAAATGTCCATATAAGGTAAGAACCCTACCCCTGGTTAGAGATAATCCCCCCTTAATTTATTCTAATCATTTTTAAGGATTTGGAGATCATATAGACTGGAAGACCTATACAGATGGACTTAAAGAGGCGCAATCAAGGTACATGATACTAATCTGCGTAGCAGTTTTAAAAATACAAAAAAATGGTTTGAGTATCAATGTATTTAGCACTAAAATACTAATTGAGGACACTATTTTTACGTCTCCTACTGGAGACGGGATTGCCATTTTATGTGGTCATCCGAGCCACGCGAAGGTCCATCTGTTTGCAGGGCAAAGGGAGTAGCTTCATTTCGATTCTCAGTTATTTAAAGACCTTGAGTATTAGTCAGGTCCCGGGAGTCGAACCCACTACCTCATGCTCTGCATTCAAGCGCTCTACCAACTGAGCTAGTTATTAATTTGTACATCTGTATTGATTCTGGTTAATTAATTTTTCAGTCATAAACCTGTAATGCTGATCATTCACAAGTCGTGGTGTGGAGCGTGCAAAGGTAGGTCACTGCAGAACAAACATTTTTGATAAATTTTCATGAGCTACAGAATATATAGGGCAAAATTTATGCAAAACAATTGAGATGTGTCTTTCACAAGACACGTCCGAAAATATTAATAAGGTTGCATCTTATTTAGGATGCGTCTCATTCAAGACAAGTCTTAGTTTTCATTGTATACATGGCCGTAATGTTTCTTTCAAGATTGTCTTATTTCTGGTTTTACGGCAATTTCTGTCAGTATATCATTTCAATGAGATTCTGCTGGCTACTTTTTTCTTATTAACAAAATGTCCAGTGTTTATTTCCCTGGATGAGAAGTATTAGTTGCATGTACATGCAGTTAAAAACCCTTTTGCGCTTTCTTTTTCAGCTCTGAAACCAAACTTTGCTGAGTCAAAAGAAATTGGAGAACTAAGCAAGAATTTTGTGATGATCAATGTTGAGGTATATAATTTTAATTCCTATAGATTACTACATACTTACCACCAAAATACCTTTAAGTATTCAAAACGTTTTGCCAGACAGGGTTGGAATGTATGATGACGGAGCTATGCGCTGCCTAGGTTGTAAGTTTTTTTGTTTGAATCTTGAAGAGCATATCCGTGTTCAAGACCTTTTGTTTTATGGGGTATTTTCTTGGAGGACAAAAGAACCACACAATGTCAACAGTGGTATAAAAATTCCAAAACTGAGTCTCAAACATTTGCCAAGCTAAAAGAACAAGCTTCGGACTCATTTGAATGGGACACCATTCTAAAATTTGGGCTAAAACAGTTTTAGAAGAAAGGGACATAGCCATATTATTTGTATTTTTCTGTCAAGTACGGCATTATTTTCACTGCTAAGTGACCTTTGAAATGAAAATACAGAATAACTTGAAAGTACATTTCTGTCAATCAAATGGTCCAAACAATACCAGAAAAAAACAATTATAATTAGTCAAAGCATTGAAAGAAAAGAAGTACAAATCTGAGAGATGGCCATTATGGGGAGTTTTTATTAAAAAATAGGCAAAGCTTTAAGCTCAAGATCACAAAATGAAGTTAGAATAATATAATTAGTAAAAACCTGTTTTTCTGGTTTGGTACTTTGCAGGATGATGAGGAGCCACAGGATACCCAGTATAAAATTGATGGATCTTACATCCCAAGGATATTTATTTTAGGTAAACAAAAAATTGGCTGGTGTCACCCAGGGTTTTTGGGTCTGAAGAAAACAAGGGTCTATACATTATCTTTCAGCTTAGTTTACCAATTTTTGGATATATCATATACTATGCTTTTGTTTTTGGATATGTTGAAAAAAGTTTTGGTAGATTAGGAGGTGCACTGGCCAGTTTAAAGGAAGTTTATTGGTACATAATTAATAGCCATCTTCCTCACCTAACCTTTCTTGTTTTTTCTTTTTTTCGGTGGGAGGAGGACACGGGCTGGCATGGAGTGCCAGACATGCGTGGCAGAAGAGAGGCGAAAAAATAACTCATAATAGTAATAATTACTTTTTTAACCTCTTTGTAATCACACATGTTTGGTGCTGCCTACCCATGTCAGCCTTGCACCTGCCCTCTCTTGCCTGAAAAATGCGAAAAAAGGGCCTGTTCAGCAGGCTATTTTTTGCTAAACCTGGGAAAAGAGCCTGTTTGACTCTGAGAGCATGGGAGAGAACCAACAACAACCTGAACTCACCATGGCAGGGTTGTCACTAAGATTTCAAGTTGCCGGGTAAATACAACAAGTAGGCGGGGAATCAAACGGCTAGGGATTTCTTTTGGTTCTATTTTTATTCTATTTTCCAATAAAGTAGCCGGGGACCACTCTCTTAGTAGCCGGGGAAAATTCCCGGCCCCCGGCTCTTAATGACAACCCTGCCATGGTGTTGTCTCTGGAATCCAAACCTAGGCCACTGGGTGGGAGGCAATAACTGCAAGTATTAGTCTCACCACTGTACCACCCCAACCCTCAAGTGTAAGCTGGTGTTTCGAAAAAAATACGAAAAAACTGTTGTTTAATGTTGGAGTTCAAACTTCGTTTTTCAGACTCATCGGGCAGGGTCCAAAAGGATATTTATAACAAGGAAGGAAATCCTTCGTACAAATATTACTATGGAAATGCACCTGCAGGTGAGTAAGGCCAGGTTTTCATATGATCTGCAATGGTCTGGAACACGATCAGCAACTGATCTGGGTCTTGTTAATGCTGCATGCAAGTGGAAACACGTGACCTCTGTATCTGAGGTGGTCTACTGCACACAGTCCTCTGACACATGCCCAGTCATCTCTTATTATTTTTAAGAGGTTACGGAACGGCTGCAGGGGACTATTACGGCATCTTGTGCGAAGAGGACAATGGGATTCCCTTAACCACTCTTCTAAAAAATTAATAGGAGACTGAGAGAGGACTGGGGATGAGTTAGCACGGTCCTTCAGATCGGATGAGTGAAATTTGCTTCTACTATTGTGACACTCAATCAAGCTAATTTCTAATGGGAGCATTTGCCCGGGATGATATGACGGATATTGTCGACACTATTGTCCCTTTCAAACAGGTGTAATTTATTTTCCAATCAAACTGGGGGAAAATGCTTGGCGCCGTTTTTGCCCCCATAAATCCAAGTTAGACAAACATGACACATCTTCGATCGCTAAAATGAATGGGAACATTTGTGTGCGCTGACAGCTTCCGATCCCAACACACCGTTACAGAGTATATATGCAAAGCACCTATAAGTGGATCAAAAAGTGTTATACACTCGTAACTGTTGTTTTTTGACGCTGTCTTTGCTGTGGTCCTTGTCTGTCACCTCATTATTGCAGGTATAATGGTCTAACACTTATTATTTTTTTTATATCAGTTGTAGATAGCATGAAAGCAGCCCTTGAGGTGATGATCCAAGGTGTTCGTATTGGAGACGAACTTTGATGTTTTCTGAATTCGTAACAAATATGTAGCCTTCGTGACATAATTTTGAACATTTTCTTTACTCAAAACATCTTTTATTCACTTCAGTAATTCCTGTTATAAATTTCAGTTTATTTATCTTGTTTTGCTGTACAATCTAATTAACACCCTTAGTCCTCGCTGTTCAACACGGTAAAAACGGAGTTAATATGCGCTAAACGTAGCTCCGGAAGAAGATCAATCTTTCTCAATTCTCTCATGTAATGGTCTCTTGTGTTTTCTTAAAGGGCTGTTTGACAGTTGGATTAAGCTGTGTTTTAACAAGATCAGCGTTTTTATCTCATTTAAAAGCTTAAGTATTTACGAAGATATTGTGGTTGCCAAATTAATGAAATAAAACCTATTTAAAAGATGTATAGTAGTTTTACTATTCAACAAACTCAATCACGACGCAAACTAGAAAGAGAATCTCTTGTTGTAACTACCCCTGGTTCTAAGAAACCCTGGTTGTAAGACCCCTGGTTGTAAGACACCCCCTGGTTGTAAGACCCCTTGTTGTAAGAAACCCTGGTTGTAAAGCCCTGGTTGTAAGAACCTCTGGTCGTAAGAACCCCTGGTTGTAAGACCCCTGGTTGTAAGAACCCCTGGTTGTAAAACCCCTAGTTCTGTTGTAAGAACCCCTGGTTCTAAGACCCCTGGTTGTAAGAACCCCTGGTTCTAAGAACTCCTGGTTGTACGACCCCAAGTTGTAAGAACCTCTGGTTGTAAGACCCATGCTTGTAAAACCCCTGGATGTAAGAACCCCTGGTTGTAAGAACCCATGGTTGAAAGATCCCCTTGTTGTAACACCCCTCGTTGTAAGAACCCCTCATTGTGAGACCCCTGGTTGTAAGACCCCTGGTTGTAAGAACCTCTGGTCGTAAGAACCCCTGGTTGTAAGACCCCTGGTTGTAAGAACCCCTGGTTGTAAAACCCCTAGTTCTGTTGTAAGAACCCCTGGTTCTAAGACCCCTGGTTGTAAGAACCCCTGGTTCTAAGAACTCCTGGTTGTAAGACCCCTGGTTGTACGACCCCAAGTTGTAAGAACCTCTGGTTGTAAGACCCATGCTTGTAAAACCCCTGGATGTAAGAACCCCTGGTTGTAAGAACCCATGGTTGAAAGATCCCCTGGTTGTAACACCCCTCGTAAGAACCCCTCATTGTGAGACCCCTGGTTGGAAGAACCCCTGGTTCTTAGAACCCCTGCTTGTAAGAACCCCTGGTTCTATGAACCCCTTGTTGTAAGAACCCCTGCTTCTAAAAACCCCTGGTTGTAAGACCCCCTGGTTGTAAGACCCTAGTTGTCAGAACCCCTGGTTGTAAGAACCCTTGGTTGTAAGACCCCTGGTTGTAAGACCAATGGTTGTAAGAATCTCTGGTTGTAAGAACCCTTGGTTGAAAGACCCCTGGTTGTAAGACCAATGGTTGTAAGAATCCCTGGTTGTAAGAACCCTTGATTGTAAGACGCCTGGTTGTAAGACCCCTGGTTGGAAGAACCCCTGGTTGTAAGAACCACTGGTTGTAAGACCCTGGGTTATAAGACGCCTGGTTGATAGAACCCCTGGTTGTAAGAACCCTTGGTTGTAGGACGCCTGGTTGTAAGAACACCTCATTGTAATAACCCCTGGTTGTAAGATCCTCTGGTTGTAAGACCCCTGGTTGTAGGACGCCTGGTTGTAAGAACACCTCCTTGTAATAACCCCTGGTTTTAAGATCCTCTGGTTGTAAGAACCCCTGGTTGTAGGACGCCTGGTTGTAAGAACACCTCGTTGTAATAACCCCTGGTTGTAGGACCCCTGGTTGTAAGAACCCCTGGTTGTAGGATGCCTGGTTGTAAAACCCCTGGTTGTAAGAACCCCTGGTGTTAAAAGGCCCTGTTTTAAGAACCACTGGTTGTGAGATTCTTGGTTTTAAGAAGGCCTTGTTGTATACAGTCGGGGTGTGAGTTTCAAGCGAGTGAAAGTGGCACAAAAACGAAGAACACGAGACAAAAAACATACGGGAGGTTATGTTCATTCATTTTTCTTACATGATAGCAACATTTGGGATCAAGAGGTGCAGAATTCTGTGATTATGAAGCATTTCTACCGATCACTTGAATTAAGCTAAGTGCAGGCGTTACGAAATACAGTCAATGTATGGCATCACACGTCGGGCGTGACATCACGATCACTCGAACAGTTCGGATGGTCCGCCTGTTGCGGTACTTGTAAATAAATAAATAAATAATAATAAATTTTTTCAGTCACTCTTAGGCGGCGTTATGAGTGAGCCAAGCGCGCAAAAAAAAAAGCCCGCGCAACATTGAATGACTAACTGAGTCCGGCCGCTGATAAAAATTAACCTTGGTTAAAGTCTTTTAACCAGGTTACATTGTGAAGAATTTTTTACCGAGTTTTTTTAAAAACTTACCCTGTTTTTAACTTGCCAAGTGCGGCCGCAAGTATTGGATTATTCAATCGACCTAACAAAATAGACCAATCACAAAATAAAGATAAGAAAATGGACATAAAATAGAGAAAACATCCAATTAAAATTGTCTTTCTATGATTGGTGCATTTCGATCCTCTCCAATGCACACACTGTTCGCGGTAGGCCCACACTAACAAATCACATTGATTCGTACATTTCGAACAACTTGTCAAAACAATGTCAGATAAGATCGTCAAGAACTCTCGAACAACATCATACATTACTGTGCTTTTCATATACACACGAATTCTGACGTTCAAAGGCCAACTGACACTTTCGTTTTACGCTGCTGCCAATCATCTTAGCGGACCTTTTAGGAAACACAAGATTTCTCCGATGAGTTGAAAAGGTCATGACTTGTGATTTTCGATCCGTTTTGTGAGGTTCTGTGTTTCAAGGTTCGTCGCTTGTGATCGTAATGACGATTAACGGCAGCGAAAAACGTAATTGTGAAGGCGGCTTTTGAGCTTCGCAGTTCAGTTTATTCACCAATTTTCAAATGTATTTGTTCTCTTTCTTTTTAAATTTTATCTTACTAGCCTGCATGTCACAAAATTTTTGCGCAACATTTCCTTACGCTCAGAACAAACTCGCTCCAAGTCTCATTGTGACCAAAACCCGACGTTAATATTCCAAATATTTTTGATAGATTTCATCCCTGGACTCCAGACTTTCCAGTTTCGATGAGGTAAGAATACTGAAGATTCAGATTAACTTTTGAGATTGTAAAGGTGCGAGAAAGTGCTGTTCTAGCAGAGCTTTCTTCCCCGCATGCCTCTTACCTTGTACCAGACGTTCGCATGGCAGACATTCGCCTCGGGTTCGCTTGTTTTGTTCGCTTGCAACTTTGCGTCAAAACAAGGCATTTCGATTACTCTGTTTGGGCGACGCCCAAATAAAAAGGTGATTTACTGTTAAAACGGACATTTAATCAAAGAACCACAAGAAAACGATTTTTACGGACAGAGGGAAGTTTGTGGCTACTTTTGGAAAATTTCTAGCCATGCCCCTGACACAGAGAAGTGTTAACAGCGTAATTTATACTTTATTCTTTATAAACATAGTATTCATTTCTTCTTCTTGCCGCTTTTGAGGTGTTCAAGGCCACTGATGTACTTTTTGGGGATTTTGTATTCATCTAAACACCAAAACAAAAATAAAACACGTTATAACGTGAATGAGGAAATTAAGTGTCAAAGCTACCGAGCAGTCACTATTCGCCGGTCGATAAACCTAAATGGAATGGGTATACGTTTTCGGTGAAACGATTTGTGGGATCGTTTGGGTGGACAAGCGCTACTTATGATTGGTTAATGGTTGCCTTGAATACCTCCCAGGTAGGCGTTTTTAGAGGAGCTCGTTTTTCATCCCTCCCCAAAAACGCCTGCTCAACCGAAGACAACATTCCTTTCCTAAGCTTAGCCAATCACGTCATACTTTCCAAATTCTGGAAAGTTGAACTTGACCGCAGGGTACTCTGATAATTACTCCATCTGCAGGAAACACTGGGAAAGCTTCCTGACCTCTAACAAATGATAGACTCAGAGCGGCAAAAGTAAGATTTAGTCAAATTTTAGAATACTTCATGTACTGCATAACCTTAGCGAAGGAAAGAAAAGAAAGATAAAAACGGTAACTCTAGGGTCACGTTTTAGTCGTGTTTAGCCTGTCAACACTTTATTTCACAACCGTCCATTGGTCACTTACCACGCAAATAAAACAATGGGAAAGGAATGTTGTCTTCGGTTGAGCAGGCGTTTGTGGGGAGGCAACAAATACCATCGACCAATCATAAGTAACGCTTGTCAACCCAAACGATCCCTAAAATCACTGCACCCAAAGATTGTACCTACTCCCCTTAGCGTTTCTTGTCACTTACCTAGAAGAAATTTCGCTACAATGGCAACTTGGTTCCCTTGAATTAAAACCTGCATTCCAGGGGAAATGTTCTTACCAGGTAGTTGTGAAACTAACGATACAATAAAAGAAAAGAGTTAAAGACGAGGATATGTAGTACCTAGTGACTGATGTAGACTTAACACGACTGAAAAGATCCGTGAAAAAAAAGGCGATTATTCTGATTAATGAAGAATAAAAATTGTATTTACAAGGGACAAAAGACCAAGCAGTGTTGTTTAATTGAATTTATAAATCGCTTCTCTCAATGTAAAAGAATGGAAAGATGTCACAGGATTCAATCCAAAAGAAAAAGGTATGAACGGTTTTTTCGCATTTTTTCAAGTTGAATTGCGTTTCTATCCTTGCCATCGAAAGCCTAATACATAAGCTCATAAGATGAGGTATAGAAGTAGTGTAATTTTAAACAACACTTGACCATTCTTTCGGGGTCTTCTTTTATTCTAATGAGTTTTAGGGTTTAAAACTGCGGAACCAAACTAATCCAAAAGCCGCTTTTCTGCTGTACTTAGCAACCTTTTATACTGATGGAGAACACATGTCTCGGAAAGAAGGATCTCTTGCCCACCAAAGTTATCCGGGGCGAGCCAACTTTTCTTACAACCAAAATAGGAAACTTGGCAAACAGTTTACATGAGAAACAAAACGTTAGCAACAGGACGGGAACGTCAGTTGGCGACGGGAAAGCGCGCGGAAAGGACTAAACACGACTTCCGGTGTAGACGGGCCACTCTGCCATTGGTACCAGTTGTTTTTCCATAAAACGTCTTTGGCTGGCCCGTTCTGGCTAAAAACTCGGTATAGACAAGACAATCAGAACATCCATAAAACAACTTTGTTGTCAGCTCGGTATGACAAGCAATCATGGGAGACTGTAATCATGAACATCTTTTTTCTCATGTAAACACTCGCTCAATTTAACTCAGCTGGAAGGGTAACCTTCTTTCCCGGGGACTGTTCTCATTTGGCGGTCAGGCACATGACTAGCTGTAGTATAAGGCTATGCACATACTTTCGTGAAGGAACGAAAAGCTGGCTACTCGGTATAATGTGAACATCTATCCGTTCTGTGACTCTCCACTTTAGAGATCGGCACTGCGCAGCCTCATCATCCGCAGGCTTCGCTGTTACAACCGTTACAATAGAGAGCTCTAGATTCTAAGACGAGTACGACAACGAGTACGAGATTTTCTCAATAGTAAGTAGTCCTCGCGCGTGAACCAGCCTCATTTTGGCGGGAGAACGTGGTAGCCGTCGTCACTCTTCTACGAGTTTTAGCGAGAATGTCGACGTAACGGAAACAAGTTATCAGATGTTAGAAGTTTTATCATTTTGCGATCGGGAGATGGAATAACCTTCTTCACTAAAGATAACAGTGCTAAATGTTCTAGTGAAACATGGTAAAATTAAGCTTTCCGGGGAGTCTATGTTTTGAGAATAGGAGAAAAAGCTTTTAGTCAAATCTCGTACTTGTACTCGTTTTGTCCTTGAATCTAAAGGTCTCTAATAGGAGTTGCCTGCGGAGAAGGCCAGGCGCGGCGCAGCGTCGCTCTGTCGCAGAAATCGCGCCGCCACAACCGTTATTGTGCGTGAACAGAAGTCCTATCCGATATGGTTTTCGTGCCGAACATAGCTTAAAGCTATTAGTGTGAACATAGCTCAAAGCGGGTCTCACCTGAGGTGCTACAAGCTGCCTTTAACTGTATATTGTGAGCAAATTCCTGCGGGCTAATGCCGTATAATTCAAGGTTCCGGATTAACGTGACCTAAAATACAAATCATTGTCAATACCCTCGATAAAATAGACCTTGTCACGGTTTTCGACGCCATCTTGACGAGTAGGCAAACGCGTGAGAAATTACAGTGTTTGTATGAGAATCTAATTTCGAATAATTTCCGTAGTACGGCTGTTCTGAAAAAAATATGATTTGTAAACCAAAGCTTCACTCCTAAGGATTCTACTGAAAAAATTTAACGGCGTTACATTCACTAGAAGATCTAGAACCACTTTTTAAATTTCCTATACATTTGTCTGCAAGAAAGTCCCGGGAAAATTACAGACAAATATATGGAAAATCTAAAGCAAGCCTGTGGAGAAATTTAAGCACAGGTAAGCCTCCAAAATTTTTTCCGACGATCCGACATATTAGATTCTCATACAAACACTGTAATTTCTCACGCGTTTGCCTACTCGTCAAGATGGCGTCGAAAACCGTGACAAGGTCTATAGTATGCGGCACAAGGCTACCACTACCGAGTTCTGGGGTCGTCAAAGTCGTGCTCCGTGGAATTTACCGTAACCTCGATTTTTCTCTTGATCCCTGCACAATGGATGGTAAACAACCACTGGTTATAAAAAGAACGCACTTTACTAAAGCGTAAATGTTAAAACACCAAAATACAAATAGAGGACACTACTTTTACTTCTCCTATACAAATGGGACCGTCATTTTACCTGGTCATCGAAGCCAAGCTAAGTTCCAGCCGTTAAGAGGGCAAAGGCATTTCCTTTAATTTCTCAGTTATTTCAAGACCCTGAGTATTGGTCCAGCTCCGAGGAAAGAACACGTGACCTCCAGCGCTCTACCTGCCGCGATTATTAGATCCAAAGGGGACACCTAAGCAGGTTGCGAGAGTTGGACTAAATTCATGACCACTTTTGTTCTGTGACAGCGTATGATATAAAAAATGAGACAAAGAGAAAACCGAACTGCACAGAAAAACGAAAAAGGTACCTTTTTGTTACCCATGCGCTGTTCCACTTTAATTTCGATAGATTCGATCTTTCCTTTCCTGATGAGAAGAAACGAGCAAACCAAAAAAAAGTATTCCAGCAATTTTCAATAGAAGTCGCAATAACAAGTTTAGCCAATTACAACAAACACGAACAATCCACTTAGCCAATCAGAGCTTGGGGCAAATACATGTCGCTCGTGCCAAGCGGTTTCCTAGAGCACTAAAACACGGCTGAAAAGAGGGGAGACAGGATTATTGTACATACAGGGTTTGGTTAATGGTTTGTCTTCCGATTGTCACATAGATATGGATCGCGACGTTTCGACCGCGTATAGCAGGTCTTCGTCAGGCGATGGAGTCGATTCACTGAGAAGAACTATTTGTACCACCGTGGTTGTTAGTGATTGGTGTATCACGATCCTAGCTCAAGCTTGGTGGGTTTCTTATCACTAAACGCTTTCTGCTATATTTTAGCACCACATTTAACTTCTGGACGGTAAAACAAGACACTGCACATTTCGGGTGGTCGTTTTCGAGAAGTTCGACTGTATTTTGAATTAAAAAGGCATTTTTATCATACTAGCTCCAGGAGGATATCTGGACTTCCCTGAAGCCAATTAGACCGCGTAACTTTCATCTAAACTTACTTGCAAAGAAGTAACTTACCTTACTAAAGGATCTTGCCCTGGAAACGTGATCTGATGGCATTTATTCATTTTAGATGAAACCCTACATGCGAAAAGCATTAATTGCTGTGAATCGTCGGTAAAATGTGCGTGATTAAGAAAGCTACAATGCGTAGACGTAACACAGCTTCTCCTTTGTTCTCACAGCTTTCCCGCTTCCCCTTTCTCCCCAAATTAAGAGGAAACTAGCAGATAAAACTGGTAACTAAAACATACACATACAAAACACGGAAAGAATAAAAAATGCCCAAACAAGGGAAACACAAAGACATCCATACAAGGAGAAATGGGTTAGTAGCGTGACGGAGCAGGCATGCCTGTTAAACACAAAAAAAAGCAATTTGCAGAAGTTTAAATCTGGCGGCCCATGAGGCAACGTTAAATTGTCCCGAGGTACTATCAAGTTGGAGCCTTCGACGGTGAACTATGCAAATTGTCATGTACCGTATAAGATGTAAAAGTGGATTAATAGTGGAAAGAACCAGACTTAACAGGGGCGGATCCAGGATTTTTTTTAGGAGAGGGTGCACTCGTCTCTTGCTCTACTTCAACACCAATAAACCACATAGTTTTTTTTTTTGCAGAATACCAGTTGTATTCGAAAACCGCAGGTCACCTCAGGGGAGGGTGCGCACCCCCTGCACCCTCCCCCTAGATCCGCCCCGGCTTACCTTTCAAAAAGTTGATCCCAAGGTAAAAATACGATATCCTCGTTCTTATTAAGGAGTATTTTGGTGAGTGTAGGGTCCAGCACCACCATTCTAGGAACAAGAAATGACAGAACAGGGTGAGCTTTTGGAAAGTCGAGCTGTAACCCACTGGATTTATACTCAAAGTGCGAGAGGAGAACCATTCGTTTCGATACAAAGTCGTTTCGATACCAACTCAAGCAGTGATACTTGCACAAAAATTTCGATCACTTCAAGTATATAGTTTGCGGGCGAACATGAAAAACATTTTGGGTGAATATTCTTTGTTCTTTAAGCCAAGTATGTGAAACTATTAACACCTAAACTGAAAAAACTTGTATCGAAACGACTTGTATTGAAACGACTTTGAATCGAAACGACCGTAAACCGGAGAACCCAGACAAAAGAAAAGCGCAAATTGTAGGAGAATTTTCATCGATATGCTGCACCTCTATGGCACACACGGGGAATACTAAGATATGGGCGAAAATAGTTTCCCCGTACGCGAAGAAGTGCAGCATAACCGGGTTTTCGTCGCTGAGGGGAGGAGGGAGGACAAAAACGCAAGTATATATGCACTCTCGGGGCATGAACGCATAGAAAAGCGATCTGATCAGTGATCCTGATGTTGGCAAAGCATTTAAATACCACGCTCAATACCCAGGGGTAATGCAAGGGTCCCAGGAGGGAAAACGTGCTAAATTATGGGGCCCGCGTGCCCACTTCGGAGCAAACATATCAATGAAAATAGCATCCTGTTTTTTTGTCATCCTTTGTTAAAAAAATTACAGTGTTTGTTCTGTTGGGTTAAAAAAGGATCCTTGATGAAACCACTTTGCACCTCGGGGAATCATTTTAAAAACAAAAGTAAATTGTTGAAATAAGCTTACCTACCTTTTATTTTCAGTCGAGACAAGCTCGTGCGATTTCACATAATTCGTAACGACTGTTCGAACATCGGAAGGACTCATTACTGCACTTTTGCTGTGAGAAACAAAAAAAATCATGTTCTAATGTTCCTCCAATAACAGGAACGACCACAATTAAAGAAATGCAAGACAGCGTGTATTAATTCGTAGTTTCAAGGTTAACTACCAATTGGCTTCTCATCACGATCCAAAACGAAATTAGAATAATTGCAGAAAATTCAATGCAAATGACAGTGTTTTACCTGTATCCAAATTCTGAAAATATGGGTAGCATTGCTGCTGATACTGAGAACAGTTCTTCTATACTCGGAGGCTGAAATAAAAGAATAAAAACAGTTACGACTTTAAGCCCCAAAATCCACATACAAATTCTCCAAACTGATCTCTATATTTTTCCTTAAAGAATGAGTTGAGAGAATTTGATGAAAGATCAAAACATTTTCTCTGTGGTGATCATTTTATTAATTCTCATAACCTTTCTCTTTGATTGTCTATTGATATTTTTAGCAGAAAATTGATGTTGGTCACTATCGGGACTTAAGCCGGGTTCTCATATGCCGCCTATGTATCTGCGACGTAGCCGCTGGTACCGCCTGGGACACTTCTCGGACGAATGAGAACATGGGCCGCCGGCAACTTGAGCCACCGCAAAGCTCTACCGCCGGCATACTTGAGTCAACTTCGCAGGCATGCCAGGGGTAAAGACTGGGATGAGCAATGTTGCCGGCCACTTCTGTTCTCATATCTGAACAGTATCCCCGGCAGTACCGGCCGCCATATCGCAGGTGCATCGGCGGCACATTAGAACCAGGCTTAATTACGGGGAACATAAATGAAAGCTTTGCATACAAGATTTACATGGCATGACTCTCCTTCCAATTCCTTACGTAAAGCAAGAAATAAGTTCTGCATCGCTAATGCTAATGCCACGTGTTTTTTGTTTTGTTTGTGGCTAAAAGAAATACAAGCGAACGAAAACTTACCTCTCTTTGTGTTCCTGCAGATGCAGGAAGGGAAGGAACTTCTGTGGTATTCTCAACAACTGGTCTCTTTGCTTTAAAATCCTTTAATCTTTAACAATAATTTTTTTCTCTTAAGAGTCAGACAACAAAGAACGGTAGTCCGCGTGATAAAGATAAACAATAGACACGGGTTATCACTTGAAAAATAAACAGTTCAGCTAATAGTCCAGCCATATGGTGTAAAAAAATAGCTGAATTGTGCAATTTGGGGTAAAAGCATCAAACTCGGCACAGTGATAGTATTAATTGCACTAATTATTTTTAGCTATGGATCCCACTCAAATATGCACGGGGGGTGGCACATTGTGCCCTTGGGGGAGGGGTAATGGCCTTTTTGTTTTGGTCCGGAAAAGACTCAAAAACGGGAAGAAAGCGACCTAAAAAACTTTTGCATTCCCATTTTCTTCAAAGTAGTGTACTTTTCTGAGAGATTTTCTAAAATTATTTTAAAAGACTGTCTAAGTGATTCTTGTCACTAGGGAAAGCCACGTAGAAGCAAGTTGAGTTCTGAAGGGCAGAATTAATTTGACTTAAAGCATTACAATATTACTCATGCACCCCCTGACACATCAAAAAACTTCATTAATATTTTTGAGACACCTCCTGATGGAACAAACAAGACTGCACACGGAAGAAACAAAAGGTCAGGCTACTCAAGGAAATTCTGCATGGCGGACAGGAATGGCTGGTCTTTTTGCTCTCTCGTTTGTGAGAGACAGTATGCCGTTTTTCGCCCTTGGAAAGATAAGATGTTTCATTTTTACACTTTGATTGAAGTGAATTGCACTTTTTGGGAATTTAATTGCTCAGCCAAACTACCGCAAAAATAAAACATGAGACACTTACAGAGACCTTCAACGACATGCAACGAGGAGTTACCTTATTGTAGGAAATTAACACTCCATGAAATTAAGGCATTGGAAATTAACGCGACTTAAATTAACGCGAATTTAATGGCAAACGACTTTCGAAGAAAGAAAATTAACGCGAAAGAGAAGGTAGAATTTCATAATAAAGGAAATTAACGCGATTAAGACACGGTTGGTGGTGACAACTGGAAACAAATTTAACAAATATTGTAAACCTTCGCCTTAGCTTTTGTGAAAGATGAAAAATAAAGGGTAAATGGAAAGAAAGAAAGCTTGTAGGTAATGTTTTTTAGGTGTCAATAATGTCTCGACAGGTTCCAAAATTGGGGTTAAAATACTGGAAATTAAGAGTGCGGAAATTAGCGCTGCACTTAATTAACGTCGCGGAAATTAACGCTCAACAAAATTAACGCGACTTAAATTAACGCGAATTTTCTTATATGAACTGTTATATAACTTATAAGGATGAATGGAATTCACAGAAAGCAATTTGATCACTCGCATCTGAATCTTATCTGCTCACTTAGATACATATATAACTGTTAAATTCTGACAGTTATATAACTGTCATATAACTGTTATATAACAGTCATATAACTGTTCTATAACTGTCATAAAACTGTTATATAACAGATATATAACAGTACAATAACTGTTATAAAACAGTCATATAGCTGTTATATAACAGTTATATATAACTGTTATATAACAGTTATATAACAGTTATATGACAGTATATATACATATAAGCGTTATATAACAGTTATATATACCTGTTATATAACAGTACACATAACTGTTATATTATATACTGTTATATAACTGTTATATAACAGCTATATGAAAGTTATATATACTGTTATATAACTGTTATATAAAATCAGACATCAGACGAGTGATGACAGTTATATGGCAGCAGATGTCTGCTGTTATATATAACAGTATATATAACAGTTATATAACTGTTATATTTTAACAGTTATATAACTGTCATATAACTGTTATATAACAGTAAACATAACTATTATATTATATACTGTTATATAACAGTTATATAACTGTCATATAACTGTTATATAACGGTTATATATATTTATATATACTGTCATATAACTGTTATATAACAGTTATATGACAGTCACATAACAGTTATATAACTGTTATATAACAGTTATATGTTTATATGAAAGTTATATAACTGTTATATATATACTTATATATACTGTTATATAACAGTATATAATATAACAGTTGTGTGTACTGTTATATAACTGTTATCTAACGCTTATATGTAAAATATACCAGTTATATAACTTTCATATAACTGTTATATATAACAGCAGACATCTGCTGTCATAACTGTCATCACACGTCTAATGTCTGATTTTATATAACAGTTATAACAGTATATATAACTTTCATATAACCGTTATATAACAGTTATATAACTGTCATATAACTGTTATATAACAGTTATATAACTGTCATATAACTGTTATATAACAGTTATATAACTGTCATATAACTGTTATATAACAGTCATATAATTTTCATATAACTGTTATACAACAGTTATATGAAAGTTATATGTACTGTTATATAACAGTTGGGTAACTGTTATATATGTTATATAACAGTTATATAACAGTTATATAACTGTTATGTTATGTGTGAGGGGCTTTTCATACGGGGTTTCCGGTTTCGGTTGATGGCTAAATTCGTGGAGCGTGAAAAATGGTTTATAACACATGTGATACGTAAAATTTGTTGTTATATTATATACTGTTATATAAAAGTTATATAACAGTTATATGACAGTTATATAACTGTTATATAACAGTTATATGAAAGTTATACATACTGTTATATAACTGTTATATAAAATCAGACATCAGACGTGTGATGACAGTTTATGACAGCAGATGTCTGCTGTTATATATAACAGTTATATGACAGTATATATAAGTATATATAACCGTTATATAACAGTTATGTAACTGTCATATAACTGTTATATAACAGTTATATAAGTGTGATATAACTGTTATATAACAGTCATATAACTGTTATATAACAGTTATATATAAATATATATATATACTGTCATATAACTGTTATATAACTGTCATATAACTGTTATATAACTGTCATATAACTGTTATATAACAGTTAGGTAACTGTTATATAACTGTTATGTTATGTGTGAGGGGCTTTTCATGCGGGGTTTCCGGTTTCGGTTGATGACTAAATTCGTGGAGCGTGAAAACTGGTTTATAACGCATGTGATACGTGAAATTTGTTGTTATATTATATACTGTTATATAACAGTTATACGTTATATAACAGTTATATAACTGTTATATAACAGTTATATGAAAGTTATATATACTGTTATATAACTGTTATATAAAATCAGACATCAGACGTGTGATGACAGTTATATGACAGCAGATGTCTGCTGTTATATATAACAGTATATATAACAGTTATATAACTGCCATATAACTGTTATATAACAGTTATATAACTGTTGTATAACAGTTAGGTAACTGTTATATATGTTATATAACTGTTATATAACTGTTATGTTATGTGTGAGGGGCTTTTCATGCGGGGTTTCCGGTTTCGGTTGATGACTAAATTCGTGGATCGTGAAAAATGGGTTAGAACGCATGTGATACGTGAAATTTGTCAAAATTTGCAGGTGAAACGGGACCGGGCCTAAAAAAGTGCCTTAAGTCATCTAGTTTATTTCCGCAGGTTGATTAACTGATAATATAAGAAACATGCGCTTACTACACCGGGAAAAACCCACCCATCCCCCCATAGACACCACCACCACCATCTCCACTACCATGGAGATGAAGAATAAGTTCAGAGGAGAAACTAATTGCTAAGTGATTTAAAATTATCCCAGAATTCAGGAAAGGTTATTGTATTCTTCCTCACAACATAAACTTAAACAAACATGCAAACAGAGATTCTCCTACCCCTCCCCCTAAGCTGTGTTGAAACCTTCCCCCCCACGCCACCTAGAAAGTTGGATTAAAAAGACCTTGTTAAACTTCCCTAGGACACCATTCCCTATCGATACAGCAGCTTTCTTTTCAATAACGGCAGTTAAATTGGAAACTGCAACCACCCCACCCCCCTGAGTACAAAATGTTCCCCCTGACTGGGGCCCATAGCTAATATTGTTCAGCAGCCCAAGTACTATTACCATACCAAATTTGGTGCTTTTACCCCAGAGTGCACAAGTTTTTCACCATATGGCTTGACTATAACTGTTCATACTTCAGTCTGCCATTAAAGCCAGGATAGAAAACAGGACAGGTTGTACAAATGTGGTATATTGATTTGCAGACCAGGTTACATGGGCAATAGAACATCGATCAACGTCGTTTCGAAGGCGCGGAGGCCCAGCCGTTTATTCGCGAGTGAGCAAAAAAAAATGGCGTTCACGCGGCTATCCGAAGAGGAATTAGCTGAATTTCTGACTAAAACTAAACGGAAGGAAATTAACACAAACACGCAGAACATATTGCTCAATGGATGTTATCTATTTTTTGGGAAGTATATGCAAGAAAAACTTGTGTTTATATCCTGAAACTGTGCAAAACACAGGCCAACAAAAAAGTCTACGAGGAAGTAAGCTTGTTCCAATATTTTGAGTGAATAATAAAACAATTATTGAATTCGGCCTTCGTAGGATGTCAAGGATTATGCACAACATAATTCAGCCTCCTTCAATAATTGCTAAATAGACCTTTTTAGCTGGTATCTTTTTTTCCCAATAGGCCATTTGCATGATGGCGTCATTTTACTACTACGACCAGAATCCTTTTCGTTTTTTCTTTCATATTCTAATTTTGTAATCCCAGTGAGGCTTCGAAAACAAAAGCCCTAATTTGCACAAGAAAGCAAAATCCTGAAGGATTCTGGTCGTACTAGTAAAATGACGTCACCGTACAAATGGCCTATTATTCACACCACGTGATGTTCGCCAGGGAATTTGCCTTTTGAATACATATGCACGTGCACAAGACGACAATTCAAAGAAACAGTTCTCTGGCGTACCATCACGTGGTCTGAAATGGAAAAGCAAAACATACAAGCTAAAAAGGTCTATTTGCAAATTTGACTACATTTAGTTAGGGCCGAAATCTTAGTGACATGAAAAAGACAAACAAATAAAAAAAATCAGTGGGTTGATAGTTGGGTAGTTCGTGAACAGATTAATTCACCAACAAGTTTAACAATGTTAAATTCAGTGCAGACGACCTCGGCCTAAAACCTTTTTTCTGGCGGAATGACTAAACTATCAAGGCTTACTCAGGATTCTCCCAGACGATTGTAGTGATTTGATCGACTCCTTTGGATGCTTCCTGCACAATGATCAATCTTCTGTCTTGCATACATTGAAGAAACTTGGACAACTAAAAAAGAATTCCATTTTGTGATGCGATAATATATATTTGCTTGTGTCAATCGAGAAACGGTCTTGTGCTCAAATTTAATGCGCCAAATGTGGTAACAAGGGTAAAAAACGGTAACACAGGGTAACAAAGGGTAACACAGGATAACGAAAGGTAACCAAAAATAAAAAGGGTAACACAGGGTAACGAGGGTAACAAAGGGTAACAAGAATAATCAGGAGAAACAATGGGGAACAACGCCAACAAGGGGGAACAAGGGTAACAAGGGTAACAAGACCTAACAAAACGGACAAGGGTAACAACAAGAAACAAGGGTAACCGGGGTTAACAAGGGTAACAAGGGTAACAAGGGGTAACAAGGGACAACAAGAAGTAAAAAGAAATAACAAGGGTAACAATGCGGAACAAGGCTAACAAGGGGTAAAAAGGCGTAAACAAGATAACAAGGGGTAACAAGGGTAAAAAAGGGTAACAACGGTAACAAGAGAGAAAAAGGGGTAACCAGACCAAAAAGAACAAAGGTAACAAGGCGGGACAAGGGTAACAAAGGGAAAAAAAGGGTAACCGGAGATAACAAGGGTAACAAGGGTAACAAGAGTAACAAGAGGGAACCAGGGGTAACAAGGGGTACCAAGGGTACCAAGGGGTAAAAAAGGGTAACAAAGGGTAACAACGGTAACAAGCGGTAGCAAGGGTAACAAAGGGTAACAAGGGTAACATGGGAGAACAAGAGGTAACAAGGGTTAACAAGAGGTAACAAAGAGAAATAAGGGTAACAAGGAGTAAACAAGGGTAACAAAGGATAACACGGGGTAACAAGGGGTAACAAGGGGTAACATGGGGTAACAAGGGGTAACAAGGGTAAGAAGGGGTAACAAGGGGTAACAAGGGTAACAAAGGGTAATAAGGGGGGACAAGGGTAAAAAGAGGTAACAAGGGGGGACAAGGATAACAAAGGGAAAACAAGGGTAACAAGAGGAAAAAACGGGTAACAAAGGTAACAAGAGGTAAAAAAGCGTAACAAAGGGTAACAAGGGGTAACAAGGGTAACACGGGTAACAAGGGTAACAAGGGGTAACAAGGGTAACAAGGGGTGACAAGGGTAACAAGGGGTAACAAGGGGTAACAAGGGGTAACAAGGGTAACAAGGGTAACAAGGAGTAACAAGGGGTAACAAGGGTAACAAGGGTAACAAGGGTAACAAAGGGTAACAAGGGTAACAAGGGTAACAAGGGTAACAAGGGGTAACAAGGGTAACAAAGGGTAACAAGGGTAACAAGGGGTAACAAGGGTAACAAAGGGTAACAAAGGGTAACATGGGGTAACAAGGGTAACAAGGGTAACAAGGGTAACAAGGGTAACAAGGGTAAACAAGGGTAACAAAGGGTAACAAAGGGTAAAAGGGTAAAAAAGGGTAACAAAGAGGTAACAAGGGTAAAAAGGGGGAAAAGGGTAAAAAAGGGAAAAAAAGGGTAACAAGGGTAACAAAGGGTAACAAGGGTAACAAGGGTAACAAGGGGTAACAAGGGTAACAAAGGGTAACAAGGGGTAACAAGGGTAACAAAGGGTAACAAGGGTAACAAGGGTAACAAGGGGTAACAAGGGGTAACAAGGGTAACAAAGGGTAACAAGGGTAACAAGGGTAACAAAGGGTAACAAGGGGTAACAAGGGTAACAAAGGGTAACAAGGGTAACAAAGGGTAACAAGGGTAAAAAAGGGTAACAAGGGTAACAAAGGGTAACAAGGGTAACAAGGTAAAAAGGGTAACAAGGGGTAACAAAGGGTAGGGTAAAAGGGTAACAAGGGGTAACAAGGGTAAAAAGGGGTAACAAAGGGTAACAAAGGGTAACAAAGGGGTAACAAGGGTAACAAAGGGTAACAAAGGGTAACAAAGGGGTAACAAAGGGTAACAAAGGGTAACAAAAGGGTAACAAGGGGTAACAAGGGTAACAAACAAGGGGTAACAAGGGTAACAAAGGGTAACAAAAGGGTAACAAGGGTAACAAGGGGTAAAAAGGGTAACAAGGGGTAACAAAGGGTAACAAGGGTAACAAGGGTAACAAAAGGGTAACAAGGGGTAACAAGGGTAACAAAGGGTAACAAGGGTAACAAAAGGTAAACAAGGGGTAACAAAGGGTAACAAGGGTAACAAGGGTAAAAAAGGGTAACAAGGGTAACAAAAGGGCAACAACAACAAGGGTAACAAAGGGGTAACAAGGGTAACAAAGGGTAACAAGGGGTAACAAGGGGTAACAAAGGGTAACAAGGGGTAACAAGGGTAACAAAGGGTAACAAGGGTAACAAGGGGTAACAAGGGTAACAAGGGTAACAAGGGTAACAAGGGTAACAAGGGGTAACAAGGGGTAACAAGGGTAACAAAGGGTAACAAGGGTAACAAGGGTAACAAAGGGTAACAAGGGGTAACAAGGGTAACAAGGGTAACAAGGGTGTAACAAGGGGTAACAAGGGTAACAAAGGGTAACAAGGGTAACAAGGGTAACAAAGGGTAACAAGGGTAACAAAGGGTAAAAAGGGTAACAAAGGGTAACAAGGGGTAAGGGTAACAAGGGTAACAAGGGTAACAAGGGGTAACAAGGGGTAAAAGGGTAACAAAGGGTAACAAGGGTAACAAGGGTAACAAAAGGGTAACAAGGGGGTAAAGGGTAAGGGTAACAAGGGGTAACAAGGGTAACAAGGGTAACAAGGGGTAACAAGGGTAACAAGGGTAACAAGGGGTAACAAGGGTAACAAGGGGTAACAAGGGTAACAAGGGTAACAAGGGTAACAAGGGTAACAAAGGGTAACAAGGGTAAAAAGGGTAACAAGGGGTAACAAGGGTAACAAGGGGTAACAAAGGTAACAAGGGGTAACAAGGGTAACAAGGGGTAACAAGGGTAACAAGGGGTAACAAGGGTAACAAAGGGTAACAAGGGGTAACAAGGGTAACAAGGGGTAACAAGGGTAACAAGGGTAACAAGGGGTAACAAGGGTAACAAGGGGTAAAAAGGGTAACAAGGGTAACAAAGGGTAAAAAGGGTAACAAGGGGTAAAAAGGGTAACAAGGGGTAACAAGGGGTAACAAGGGTAACAAGGGGTAACAAGGGTAACAAGGGTAACAAAGGGGTAACAAGGGTAACAAGGGTAAAAAAGGGTAACAAGGGGTAACAAGGGTAACAAAGGGTAACAAGGGTAACAAGGGGTAACAAAGGGTAACAAAGGGTAACAAGGGTAACAAGGGTAACAAGGGTAACAAGGGGTAACAAGGGTAACAAAGGGTAACAAGGGTAACAAGGGGTAACAAGGGGTAACAAGGGTAACAAAGGGTAACAAGGGTAACAAGGGTAACAAAGGGTAACAAGGGGTAACAAGGGTAACAAAGGGTAACAAAGGGTAACAAGGGGTAACAAGGGTAACAAAGGGTAACAAGGGTAACAAAGGGTAACAAGGGTAACAAAGGGTAACAAAGGGTAACAAGGGGTAACAAGGGTAACAAAGGGTAACAAGGGTAACAAGGGGTAACAAGGGGAACAAGGTTAACAAGGGTAACAAAGGGTAACAAGGGTAACAAAGGGTAACAAAAGGGTAACAAGGGGTAAGGGTAAAGGGGTAACAAAGGGTAACAAGGGTAACAAAGGGTAACAAAGGGTAAACAAGGGTAACAAGGGTAACAAAGGGTAACAAGGGTAACAAGGGTAACAAGGGCAACAAGGGTAACAAGGGTAAAGGGGTAACAAGGGTAAAAAGGGCAACAAGGGCAAAACAAGGGTAACAAGGGTAACAAGGTAACAAGGGTAACAAAGGGTAACAAGGGCAACAAGGGCAACAAGGGTAACAAGGGGTAAAAAGGGTAACAAAGGGTAAAAAGGGTAACAAAGGGTAACAAGGGTAACAAGGGGTAACAAGGCAACAAACAAGGGTAACAAGGGTAACAAAAGGGCAACAAGGGTAACAAGGGCAAAAAGGGTAACAAGGGTAACAAGGGTAACAAGGGTAACAAGGGGTAACAAAGGGGTAAACAAGGGTAAACAAAGGGTAACAAGGGTAAAGGGGGTAACAAGGGGTAACAAGGGTAACAAAGGGCAACAAAGGGCAAAAAGGGTAACAAGGGTAACAAGGGTAACAAGGGGTAACAAGGGTAAAAAAGGGTAACAAGGGGGTAACAAGGGTAACAAGGGGTAACAAGGGGTAACAAGGGTAACAAGGGTAACAAAGGGTAACAAGGGTAACAAGGGGTAACAAGGGTAACAAGGGTAACAAGGGGTAACAAGGGGTAACAAGGGTAACAAGGGGTAACAAGGGTAACAAGGGGTAACAAGGGGTAACAAAGGGTAACAAGGGTAACAAGGGGTAACAAGGAGTAACAAGGGTAACAAGGGTAACTGGGGGTAACAAGGGGTAACAAGGGTAACAAAAGGTAACAAGGGTAACAAGAGGTAACAAGGGTAACAAGGGGTAACAAGGGTGACAAGGAGTAACAAGGGGTAACAAGGGGTAACAAGGGTAACAAGGGTAACAAGGGGTAACAAGGGTAACAAGGATAACAAGGGGTAACAAGGGAAACAAGGGGTAACAAGGGTAACAAGGGTAACAAGGGGTAACAAGGGTAACAACAAGGGTAACAAGGGTAACAAGGGGTAACAAAG